CAATTCTGTTAGAAGTTAAAATATCAATTCTCTCAAAAAGATCCTTGTTCTTAACAACCACATTGCGTGATGTTTTCCAATCACGCATTTTCCACGTGTTGATCCAACCTTCAAACGCGTTAACCACGTTTCTGCTATCGGTCCTAATCTCAAGTACCTTTTCTCGATTTTCGCATGTTTCAAGAGCACGAACTACTGCGTAAATTTCTGCACGATTGTTATCCTGAAATAAACCTCAGCATAGAAATATTTAGATGATTGTGGCATTTTTTGAGAAAAAAAACTGAAAGTGTGCCCAAGTGGCGAGTGTGCAACAATCAGTATAGTAGGATATAAGCCATGGGTGCTAAATAAGAGTTAGTATAATAGACAAAATAATTTCAAATATCATACAAGTTGGGATCCTTCTCTTACCTAAACAAAACACTTTTAATTTTAAATTTAAAAAAATGAGGTTTTTTGAACCAATTCATCCTTTTCACAGATTATAATATTTGTTTTAGATGGCAACGCCCATCTTTTTGCTTTTGGTGTTGCGTAGTTCTGTCCCGTTTTTCACTATTGTAGACAATAGTACCAAGACTGTTAGAAGGATATCTAGAAATCGCAGAATCAAAAATCCCTAACCATTCGAACCATTATCGGTGATATCATGTCCTTGCACTGGATCAGGCCCAATTTTTCCATGTACGTTGCGATAATATCGATCCCATTGTCACTTTGAACAACCTTTATCTTGTTGGCTAACATTCCGTTCATCTCTAATAATTTGCATACGATCGATTCGAAATCGTGACCAATCCTGTAATTTGAAAGCTGAAATAATGAATAAAAACGATCAGCACGAGATTTCTATTCATCAGTGTTTGCAACATAGCTGTCTCGAAGGTGTAACTTCAATCTCTATCTCAGTTTCTTGAGAGATAATAGAACACGTCCTCAACATGAAGTGCTCAGAATGCGCTCCTATCTCCCTATGATAGCATAACTTCAGAATCACAAATACCGAGTGAAATGGCATGGCTATCTTACCTTTTCCAGAGTTGTCATCATTAATCATTCGCGTAGCTTTGTTCCGATTTGAAAAAAATTTTGTCTATCTGTTTTTTACACTCATCCCAAGTGGTGTATACACCTGGCTTGCGACCGGCGCGAACCGCACAACTCTAATATAGAGTGATATAGTATAGAAAACATGCTTGTGACCAGTTACTGCGAGGGAGATGGCATACAAGAGTAATTTAGGTTTACCAACCAGATAGGAGGAGTGAGGTTAGTACAAAGTAAGTAAAACGAATGACCAGACGATGCACGGTTAGAGCCCCTCACCTTTAATATTTCAAATATAAATTACGTTTAATAAAAAATGAACGTTTATATAGTTTTTTAAATATTATAAAAATTATGAAATGTATTTTTTAAAAAAAACTTGTGGATCTTGCAATCGTAAAGATTTATCTACTAATAAGTTCTTGATGGAGTTTTTACATTCTATATTAAAAATTAAATTAATATTTTTTATTGTACGTACAGATGTATTTATATTTTTTAATTACCCAATTAGTAAAATGTTTTTGGTTACAGAAAGGTCCAAATGGGGTAATTTGACATTACCCAATTAGTAAAATGTTTTTGGTCGCAGAATGAGCCAAAGTAGGTAATTCGACATTACCCGATTTGTAAAAAAATTGACTACTATTTCGATTTTGTAATCTAATTTAAGAAGAAACCGCAATATCGTAATTTAATATGTAATAAATAAATTAAATTTTACAAATAAATAAGAATTTTAATTTATTTTGACGATCTTTTAAAACTAGATGTAATACGAACACGTATAAACGCGTAAATTTTGATATGTAAATAAAAATTATATAAATATGTTCTTTTGTCTAGGTAAAACTAAAATGGCAAACAATTATAGGTTCTACCAAATCATGGCAACCGTGTTCTATTGCATTCTTTGTATAAATTCCTTCAATTATACAATTTGAAAAAGTGAACCAGATTCAAATTCTTGCATTAAAGATTCACGAGGACGTGATGTGATTGGTCAGAACTGATTTTTTTGACAAAAATTGAACGTGTTCAATTTCTTGCATTAAAGATTCACGAGGACGTGATGTGATTGGTCAGGACTGATTTTTTTGACAAAAATTGAACATGTTCAATTTCTTGCATTAAAGATTCACGAGGACGTGATGTGATTGGTCAGGACTGATTTTTTTTTGACAAAAATTGAACGTGTTCAATTTCTTTTAACAGAAAACAACAGGATAATCAACAAAATCAAATATTTATTTAAAATTTATTTAAAAAAAATTTCACATCTTCCTTTATATAAAGTCTTGATATAAATATTTTTTTATTATTTAAAAATAATTTAGATAAATTTTTGAATTGTAAAATGAAGATAATATGTAAAGCAGTTGTATTTACAGTCTTTTTTAAAAAATATTCAAAATACGAATGTGAATTAATTTCTGAAAATTTTATTGAAAAAATTATTTTTCAAATTTGTATTCTATTTTTTTCAATGTTTCTTTCAAAAATTATTGTTATATATTTAAATTATTTCAAAATATTATTTAGTTCATATTTATTTCTAATCATTTTTTTAACCGATTAGACCCTCAAAACTATAATTCTTTAAATCATTAATAAACTTAAAATTATTTAAAAAAGCTATCTATTCTCCTCATTGAGGCGACGGCTTTCTTCATTTTGCTTCTCTAGAGAATTTGATATATTTACATCATCATGATCCGAATCGTTTATAAATTGTTCGATTCGACGTTTCAATCGCTTGTTA